GCGACACGGTCCTTGGTGCTCAGCACACCCAGACCCTGACCAGCCTCTCTTCCTTGTGCAGCCCTGACGAGGACTCCTGCCAGAAGTTTGTACCCTTTGTGGGGGTGAGTATGTTGGGGAGGGGCAGTGGGCAATTGGGGCTGGGGCTGGGGGGAAGATGGGCAGCGCACAGCCTTTCTGTTGCTGACTTGTCTGTCCTTGCAGGTGGTGAAGGTGGGCCTGGTGGAGCAGTCCTTCAGTGCCTCCGGTGAGTCCCTGGGAACCACAGTCCCTGGCTCCCTTCTGCAGTGTGGGGAGACCACTGTTAGTGTCCCCCAGCCCCTCCCCAACCCCCACTTTTCTTCTCCAGTGGACTCCGATGATGCTACAGTCTGCACCCCCTCCCTGCTGAGCTCCGTGCCAGCTGCTGGTGGAGCAGCCCCCTACGGCAAGGAGACCGTGAGCACCCCGCCACCCTCCCCGTCTGTCAGCAGCGGCCTCTCGGGTGCTGGGTAAGGAAGCCCCACTCAGCCTGAGGCAGGGGGTGCTGGGGGTGGGAGGGTTTTGAGGCGCTCACGGGCGAGGCTGCCCAATCCTGGGATTCTCGGGCCAGCGCCCTCCCAGGGCAGGGTGCAGCTGGGCTCTGGGGAGGGAGAGGAGCAAGGGCAGCATCTGTGTGCTGCATGGTGCTGCCCATCTTGCACAGGTCGCTGAGCCCTGGTGTGGAGGTGATGGGCCTGCAGGTGGACTACTGGACAACACAAGGGCTGGACAGGAAGAAGGAGGGCGAGAAGCGGGAGACGGGTATCAAGAACACGCTCAAGAGCAACTTCCGCTCACTCCAGGTCAGCCGCATCCCCGGCACAGGGGAGCTGGTGCCCCCTAGCACCATGGCCATGACCGTGGTCACCAAGGAGAAAAACAAGAAAGGTAACCAAGCCCACCCTGGGGTGCTCTCCAGCTGCGGGACCACAGTCCATTGCAAAAAGGTCGGGGTGGGGGGGAGCCCACAGGAAAGGGCAGGGCTGAGACCCAGCCCCACAGGGGCTGGTCAGTGCAGCCAGCCCTGGGGTGAGGGCTCCCACCCAGGGCCAGGTGGGGACATCCTAATGTTGGTCCTTGGCCACCAGTGATGTTCCTGAGCAAGAAACCAAAAGAGAAGGACCTGGAGCCCAAAAGCCAAGTCATCGAAGGGATCACACGCCTCATCTGCACAGCCAAGCACCAGAACACCATGTTGCGAGGTGAGGGGAGGTGCCAGCCCCACTGGGCTGCAGGGGGCAGACCAAGCAGCACAGACTGCCTGTGGTGGGGCTGTGCCTCACTGCACCCTCTCCTCCCAGTGTCCATAGATGGGGTGGAGTGGAACGATGTGAAGTTTTTCCAGCTGGCAGCACAGTGGCCAACGCACGTCAAGTACCTCCCTGTGGGTATCTTTGGCTACTCGAAGAATGCGTGAGACGCGGGGGCAGCCCTGGGATTGGAGCTGCGGAGGGTCACAAGAGGAGACGGGGAGATGAAGAGACGGACGTGCTCTTGTCCCCTCTCTTCTGCGGCCCAGCCCCTGCCTGCACTGCAGAGGGAGATACCACACCCGCACCACTCCCTGTGGGCCAAGACCCGTGAAGGTGAGGCCAGTGAGACCGGGTCTGCGTACCCTCCAACCACCAGCCAGGGCACCATGCCATCTGCCTCCCATGACCCCCAACAGCAGCCTGGGACAAGGGTT